ATTTTTTATATATGAAAGTTTCTATGGGCAGTGCCGGTTTTAGGACTACTAGCGCCCTGGGCGAAATTTCTTCGGCGCCCTCTAACTGCAATTTAATTACAATCAATTACTACTACATACTACAAATCAGTTACTTGTCTTTTTTTCGCCGACCCGGCCTACTTACTTGTAATTTTCCCTAAATTTAGGTAGATTGTTAAGCGTTCAATCGGTTTAATTTCTCGGGAATCCCCGACTTTCCGACCATACAGAAACAATGTGTTTTTCTATAATCGGGGATTCCCTATATCTATCTCTTTTAATTTTTGACGAAGAAGAACACAATCAACAATTATCTTCTTGCTTGACATAAGTGGAGGCTCTTAAAACAATTATTCGATTATTTTAAAACAATCAAACACAGTAATCAAACGTTTAACTCTACGTTACGATGCTCTTGTTCCAACTATATAGTGACATTAGTTTTATTTTAAAAGTAAACATATAAATAGTGTATAAGTAGCTGATTCATTTTTGACGGATCACATCATTGGGTAAGCACAGATTCATTTTTACCCTAACAGGGTGCCACATAATTGTTATCTATAACTTTGTGTAATTGTTGTAACTTTTTGACAGCGAGTTTGCAGTGGGCCACTACTTATTATATGATCAATTATTTTGCTATTTCGAATAAGTGGACAAGTAGCTGGATCCGCTATATTCGGGACAACAGTATCAACATCATCTAGTACATGTATTTGTTATACATCAATAACAGATTTATCCTAAGCAGTATCTGTAATCATAGCACAACTTGCTCCCTTACTTCGGGATTTTTCATCCACAATCTCTTGAGTAGCTATTCCATCTGACTTGCCAGACAGAGGCTCCACTGCCGATGCATTCGTTTGTATTGCAGCATTTTAGCTTCAGCTTAACGTTTAAACATGCTCAAACGAAAATTTTCTTAAATGATCGAGCGATAATGCCCGCCAATGTACGTCATATTACCTTATAAAATACATATCTTCATATTGGTAATCGGTATGTTGTTCTGTTTTACCATAATATAATATTTTTCTTGTTAAGTTTCCTTTCAATTCACGCTAAAAGGCAACTTGAAAATAAAAAAAAATCCTCAAGATTCTTGTTCTTTTTTCGCCGACCCAGTAGGCCTTGTTCAATGAACAAGGGCATATAAGAATATAAGAGGGCATCTGTGGGAAATGAGGAAGCATTGGAAAAAAAAACATAAGTTCCCGAAATCAAACTAGATGTCGTTACGGTATGTTCTTGATTTCTCCATGAGAACCCTTCCAGTTTTCTTTCATGTTTAAAAGTAAATTAGTTTTCAAAACTCAATTAACAACTCATATTCTATTTGTACTTTTTCGTATTTGTATTGATATCTAAATTTCGAACTTTTAAATTTCAGTTTTTTAATATGTTAGTTAAAATGAATGGAAATTACTGTCTTTGTTCCATTCGTTTCCTACAAAAATCAACTTTTGCTAGAGTCGCCATCTAGGTGGAGGTATTTTTGTAGTGCTTTCGTTTTTTTTAAATACTTCCTCACTATACAGAATCAGAAAGAAGAGCCGGACGAAAAGAGGCGCCGCAGGCCGCGGCGCCCCTTTTCGTCCGGCGCCCCTGGGCGGTCGCCCAACCGCGCCCTACCCTAACGCCGCTACTGTCTATGGGTATAGTAAATTAGTATACTAAATTAGTTCGCACTAAGCCCTATAAAATAAACCAGTTTAAGCTAAGTCAAACTAGTTATCCTAATATAAATCCAAGCCCACTTCATGTATATGTATGGCCGTATATGGAACTAATTTAATCTAGGCTAGCCATGTATTTATCCAGAAATCGAATTTGTTAGATAACATTTGCACTTATACATTGGAATGCAGAGCAGCGGCGAGTTAATGGATTTATAATTGTATTTAATTATACACGCTTTTATCACGAGTAGTATTTGTTCACAAAGGGAATTCCAATCTACTTTACTTTACAATAAATCATTTAAAAAGTCATATTAAAAATGGTCTACAAAGTAAAGGGTATTATACCGTTAAAGAATATCTAAATGACAAAAAGGCATGGTGTTAGATATTTTAACTTTATGTGATTGCCATGGAGTAGCTCGGTGGCGTAGTGGATAAGCGCCGCAGCCCGCGATCGTAATCGTTAAGCAACTTTCGCAAGGGTCGGTCACGGGATGGGTGACCAAAAATTATTATCTCGAGCTACTCCGTGCTTCGGAAGGCACGTTAAGCCGTTGGTCCCGGTTGCATTTGCAGTCGTTAATACCCTCCAATCCGCATTGGTCCAGCGTGGAGGGTCATGGCCCATCCTCCTTAACCATCCATAAGGAAGGCCTGAGCCCCTGCAGTGGGGACGTAAAAGGGCTGGTGATGATGTGATTGACATTGTACCTATGTATTTGAGCCGTGTCATGCAGCTACTGATAGATGTATTGGATTCAGCTTCCTTAGGCGTAGTTTTCGACTTTCACAAGTGCTGTGTAAAAGCCTAAGCTGGATAAACAATTTTGATTGATTTTTTGATTGACTTAAATAGATTAAAATAAGAGGCAATAGGGGCCATCCAAAAATTACGACACACGTTAGGAGGGGGGGGGGGGGGGGTGTCGACGAACTGTGACATTAGAACAATATTTAGAAGAATTTGTATAGACAAATTCAAGACAAAGACAAATAGGGTTTAAAAATCAGGAGATTTTGTGTGACGTAATTTATAGACGGCCCCATATCTGTATAAATAGAAGAAACATCGTGGTCAGTGCACAAACTGAATATGATATTTTGTAAATAAATATAAGAAATATTAATAATTAATTATTTAACAAAGATAATTGTTCTCTGACATTAAATTAAAACTACTTATCTAAACTATTTCTTAAAATAATAACTAAACTAAATTGAAAATGTGCTCCCAGATCATTGCCTACAGGTAAGGTACCCAGAAGGCTGCGAGCGTTACCTCTTTGAATAGCTAAACTAATTCTTTGGGCGAGGTACAAACCAGCCTTCTGATCACCTGACCTGTCAAAAAGTTTCTTTTTTAACTCTTAATATAAGAATATATTTGTTACACTAAATAATATTCACGCTTGAAAATATCGAAAAAGAAAACACTAAAGTGTCGGACTCGCGCACGAAGGGCTTGTATGAATGTAGCTTCTGAGGCCTAATTGAATTTGAAAATCGATCTCTAATCCCTTTCGTTTTGATATTTGAATATATTCACGAACTCCACGCTGCAATTATTTAACATGTGATAGCTTTTGCGATCGCTACGTTTCTTTGAAAGATTAAGAACGAACGATACAGCTGTTACGGGTTCGGTGCTTGGGTCAATTAAATAGGCTGATCAGCTTGAGTATAATTTATTGATGAAATAAGGGTAATAATAAAAAAAAACTGTAACAAACAAAAATAAATTTAAAAAACAGTTTTAATTTAGTAAATATGTTATATTATTGTATCACCATAATATATGAATTATTAAAATTACATAGTAAAATTTATACCAATAATATTGTATTATATTATAATTTCATCTTGTGTATAGGAGAATTTCTTACGAACTGACATCCATAAAGAGTAAAATTGATTAGTCAAAATTTTAAATTACGAAAGACGAATAGTAAAATGAAATGATGTTGAATTTCAAAAGTAAAAAGTTTGCATACTGAAACCTAGGAAAACAAACGGTGGCATGGCACACCGTTACACAGCTAATTTAACCTTAACTGGAATAGTCTAAGGTAAGCGTCAGACGTAAATCTTACTTTAAGTCAAAGTTACAAGTTCCAAAAGCGATTGCCTCTTTAAAAGTAAATAGATTTCCATAAATCACTACCACAACTGTTACACAATCGCGATAGATTTTAAAATTACACAATTAAGCTACTAAGCCACTGGTTAGAGAGACTAAAGGGAAATTTTCTCCCTCCATAAGCGCGATGTAGGTGTAGCGGCGCCATCTTGCTATTGTTCGATGTCAGTAGCAGCTTCAGTCTTGTTATCGATTATATGCGCGATGAGATGTCACCACAGGTCCTATTATTTATAAAGAATGCAGTAAATCACGTTTGAGAGCACCCATACAGTATTTATTTTATTCTTATTTCAGTATTTGTTGTTATATCAATTTCATCTAACTATCATCACCAGCCCTTTTACGTCCCCACTGCAGGGGCTCAGGCCTTCCTTATGGATGGTTAAGGAGGATGGGCCATGACCCTCCACGCTGGCCCAATGCGGATTGGAGGGTATTAACGACTGCATATTCAGCCGGGACCAACGGCTTAACGTGTCTTCTGAAGCACGGAGTAGCTCGAGATAATAATTTTTGGTCACCCATCCCGTGACCGACCCTTGCGAAAGTTGCTTAACGACTACGATCGCGGGCCGCGGCGCTTATCCACTACGCCACCGAGCTACTCACTACTACATCTAACTATCACGGTTCACGTTTTTACCCTTTAGGGTACGGAAACCGAAAAAATAAAAATATGTTTATGAACACCTTGCTACTTATGATATGTATGCCGAATATGTGTGTTTCAAAGTCAAAGTCAAAATAATCTTTATTCAAATAGACTTCTTAAAAGTACTTTTGAATCGTCCAACATTTTTTTCCCTACCACTCGTTCAGGACGTCTTTTGGCTGATAAGAAGAACGAGCAAGAAACTCACCAGCTCTAATGGGAGTAATGACATTCACAAAAACCATGTCATTACCAGATCAATACATTATAAATAGAGAGAGAAAAAAACTATGGTCTTATAATGATAGCATAATCGTTTAATAATAATGGAAGCAAGATAATTTTTGATATATAATGAGTTAAGAAGTAATCACCTATCCAGTTGCTGGATCATCTCAAGTCCAAGCATTCTTATCTGTTATATAATCTGATACCTTATAGTAAGCTTTTTCTTTTTGTAGTGCGTTAAAATAATTCAAGAAAACTTCAATATTTACAGAAAATGTCCAACACGACAAGTGTTCGTTCGTGGTGGAAGATCACACTGCATAGATGCCTGTAACGCTGAGACAATGTGCGGCGAAGTGAGAGTACCGGAACATCATTTAAATGTAAGAAAACAATTGATATATTAAAGTTTAAAGGTTCGGAATAGGGCTCCACAGTCGCCACACTATCCATAATAGCTCTCTCCACACTCACAACACTATCCACACTCGCGACACTTGGTTTTCACTCTGTGCAATGGATCTCCACACTCTACACACTCAATAAAATGTTTTTTTTAAATAGTTTTTTTCATAATCTCTTTGACGATGAGTTTATTTGACCCTTTTTATTAGTGGACTGGCAGAGAATGCTGTACAGCAGAAGTTCCCAAAAAATTATTTCTCGTAAACCATTTAAAAAAAAAACTGGTTTCGGTGGACCCCCTGTTACTACACACATCACCAGCCCTTTTACGTCCCCACTGCAGGGGCTCAGGCCTTCCTTATGGATGGTTAAGGAGGATGGGCCATGACCCTCCACGCTGGCCCAATGCGGATTGGAGGGTATTAATGACTGCAAATGCAGCCGGGATCAACGGCTTAGCGTGCCTTCCGAAGCACGGAGTAGCTCGAGATAATAATTTTTTGGTCACCCATCCCGTGACAGACCCTTGCGAAAGTTGCTTAACGTCTACGATCGCGGGCCGCAGCGCTTATCCACTACGCCACCGAGCTACTCACTCCTGTTACTACATTTTTACCATATTCCCAAAATTCGTCCAAAATGTGAAGATCTTACGATGGAAATGTCCCCCTATTTTTATTTCACGCCAACGTACACCCCCGTTGAATCCCTCGTTGACCCCTGGGGGTCCACCTGGACCACTTAGGGAATCGCTGCTGTACAGCATTAAATGCGTCCTTTGCTGTATTACAATAAAGATTAAATAAATAAAACGAGACGTTCCAAAAATATTTATGGAGTCTTAATAAAGCTCCCTATTACAATAAGAAACAACCGGTATGTCGATCTACCTGCGCAGAAAGCTAAATTTGAATCTGAACAATTCAAGTACTACGCCATCGGGTAATCCACCAATACCCACTCGCCTGACCACCGCTGGGTATGAGTGAGATGGAGAGATGGGTAAGTTGGAAAATAAGAAAGGTTTTGTGCAAAATGAAATAAATATCATGAAATATCAAATGTAAGGAATTATTTTGAAGATCTCATTTTTTTTTAACTTGACAATTGGCTATTAAACTAGAGCTATACGACATACACAATCTTCTGCGACCAATTCAGCTGTGAGGCCATGCCATGGTAATGACTCGCAGTTCTAAATACAACAAACCAAGCAAATACTTATCGTATAAATACAGTATTACGTGCATTTGGATTCACTCCAATGTTAATGAAATCAAAATAAATGTAGTAAGCGGTAGCCCACAACTCAGTATAGGATTGGAAACTCAGTAGAAGTGTACGCTGTTTGCAGGTAATAACCTAAAAGGTTACTTACATATTTACTAGAAGTCTGCTTTGACTTGTCCGTTTCCAGACCGAGCAGAGCTTCTGATGTAAAGTTAAATTGCAATTACATTTTTCTGTCGACAATACCAGTTGATGTGGTTATGATTTAATTTACTAACGGTAGTCGACAGCCAACTCGAGCTAGTTCAAATGATATAAATACTAGATAAAAACAATTTATTGAAACAATCAAGACCATTCAGTTTGTAGCTTGACTTCGTCATCTTTAGTTTTCTCGTTTGAGACTTTGGGTAACGCTACTAGGCCGCTTGTAGCGACGAATTTAGATTTTGGATACTTCGTGTAATCATATTGATCGAATTCCGTTTTGGCTTTATGACTTGTGACAGCTGTTTCATTGTCGCTTAACTTGATATGTCTTGTCGTGACTGTATTAAGTTTTGATGAATCTGTATCATTTATGTTCTTTGATACTTGGTCAATCTTGTCAGCACTCATCAATGCGAATTTAGGTGGGTTTGATGCACGGTATCTATTAGATTCAGTTCTACCTGTGCGGCTAAGAAAAGATCCACTTTTGTGCGCCGAATACTTCTTTTTTTGTTTACGAGGTGGCTTTTTGTTTTCATTTACCGCTTTCATAATATGAGCCATCTTTGCTTCGTAATCTGCAATGTATGAAGAAGCTGTGTTTTGTTTATCTTGATGATGTTGTGTTGTAGCCACACTTGATTCTTTAGTCTCGTGACTGATGGCTTGGAAGGTCTGTACTCTAGATCTTGATAAATCACTTTTTCTGTCAAATATATCATTTTGATGATGGAATCTCTCTTTTGATATTAATAAATCATATTGTCTGTCGAATATATCATTTTGATGAGGGTAACCTTCCGTAGATTTTATCAAATCGTTTTGTCTATCAAATATATCATTTTGGTGATGATGCTTCTTCGGATTTTCTTCTGTATCTTGCATTGGGATCTGTGTCATCCTATTTTCGATTGGCATTTCATCTTTATATTTTATTTCACTGTACTTGTCTTGAGTTTCTTGTTTTTCGTTTTCCTCAGAAACATTGATGGTTTTCTCATTAGCTTTAGCTAAGAATTGGGCGATCTGTAAAGCTAGAGAGTCGGAAACGAATTTCTTCGCTAGTTTCCTCACGTCCTCCAAGTTGGCAGTTAGCAATACCAATGAATGTGTTATTTGCATCAGAAATATCGCATGTAAACCTGCAATTATCAATTTTATTTCTCAAGCATCACATTAGTATGTTATTTATTCGTAACATACTAATATGATGTTTGTTAGTTTTTTGTAACATCTAAATGTTGATTAATACATCTATGGGTTGTTTCGCTTGTTTTAAATGCCCAAAATTACACCTATATTTATGTATTCCTTTTATCTTACTTTTATTTATAGTCGTAAAGATTGTGACTTTAAGAATAGAGTAGGCAAAAAATATATATTAATATGTCGTCATCTTAAATTGATTTACAACGTGTATCTTGCTGGTTTATGATTGTCTCTGGGCTTATTATCTCGGGGCTCGGCGGTTGAGGTACCTTCGTTTTTTCATATTTGCATAACGCGCGTGCTTTAGCTAGCTTCGTGATTAATCAATATAAATGTTATCCAATATTTATCTTTGACTGTTTTATTCACTAGTATAAAACAATGTCGCTTTCTTTGTCGCTATGTATGCTTAAATCTTTAAAAAGAAACGGATTTTGATGCGGTTTTTTTTTTTCATAGATAGCGTGATTCAAAAGGAAGGTTTTTATGTATAATACAAGAGCACTATGGGGAAGTCGCTGGCGGAAATCTAGTACATATATTTTGAAACTCACCTAAAATAAATACATGTTTTAACAACATTATTATATTACTAAAGTGAAAGATGCTAACGTTATTGTGTTTGTTGAGTTTATTGACTTTGTTTATTGCTTTTACGTTATGGAGCGATTATATTTCTTATCGTAACTTTTGTGAATTCTATGAAGCAATATTCTATTGTTTATACTTTCCAAGTATTTTATATTTGTGTTTCTTGTAAAATAACTCCAATATAAGCGACTGAATTGATGGTTATTCGATATTGGTCAGGGATTTTCTTAGAATAAACAAATACACGTGGTAGTAAACAACTCGCATTGGACGGTTAAGAATATATAATACTAGCTTTCGCCAGCGGCTTCGCCCGCGTGGACCCTAGGGAAATGTTAAGTGGGATAAAAAATATCCTATTATCTAAGTCAGCTAATACCCTATCTGTATACCAAATTTCATTAAAATCCGTTCAGTAGTTTCGGCGTGATTGACGTACAAACATCCAAACATCTAAACATACAAACAAAGAAACTTTCATATTTATAATATTAATGTAATTCCAATATAAGCGCCTGAATCGACGGTTATTCGATATTGGTCAGGGATTTTCTTAGAATAAACAAATACCAGAGATAGTAAACAAGTCACATTGGACGGTTAAGAATATATTAGAGGGCATTCCTTCAAATCGATAACAATACCGACAGAATGAAAAATCAACTAATATTAAATAGTTAATAGCTAATTATGAAGTATCTGATTTTACAGCAAATAGGAATGTTTGAACTTAAAATTATATCTATTATGTAATATAAATGTCAATTTAAAGAATTGAAATTCCACCTAATTGTTTGGGCCTTTGTATAAAATATTTGCTTAAGTTATTACTTTGCTCAAGTAATTAATTCTACTCGACCTTATGGAGATACGACTGCGACTCCTTGTCCGTCTGTCTGTCACCAAGATGCATAGTTAGACGTTTGAAATTTTCACAGATGATGTATTTCTGCCGCGCTATTTTTCGTAAAACTAAATGAAATGGTCTTTATTCAAGTAAGCTTGTTTCAAACACTTTTGAATCGCCCAATAAATCTTTTCCCCTACCACTCGTTCAGGACGTCTTTTAGCTGACAAGAAGAACGCGAAAGAAACTTACCAGCTCTTTATCATAAGTAATGACATTTACATAAATCATGTCATTACCAAAATAATATGTATTATCACAATAATAAATACAACTTTCAAAGTCTGTAGGACATAGGTTATACATATAATTAGTCGTTATAGAACAAAGCGAAGGCTATTAATTCCATGCATTGCGATCCTTAAAATAATCATCAAGTTTATAATAGCCTTTACTCATAAGTATGTTCTTTACATGAATTTGAAATTTATTTATGGGTGGGTCAATTACTACTGTCTGAAATAGAAGTTGCTCTGACGATATACGAGTATCATTTAGTGTAGTTACCGTCTTAGTGTGAACGCATCTTAAAGAAATAAATGAGTTTCTTTGTTATGTTTTTCAGCCGTGTTATGTCTGCAACAGTACGGGACACAATTGCAGGGCGTTGCCAAGAATCCGTCCGAGTATATCTGAAGAAGAAGAGGGCAAGGAAGTCACAGACAATACGCTTGGGGATACCACGGAATCTGGTACGTGTTTTTACCAAAGATATTTATATTTAGCGCGTCAATCAGATAAAAGAAAAATATTATATGCGTATTTTTTTTGCTTCAATTTAAATAAGAAATGGCTTAGATAACAACTTTAATAATTGAGGACTGGGGGCTCGCTGCCAGGGCTTGGAAATCGGTTTATTTCTTGAACCGGTTCGACCTAAGTACATGCCGAACTTTAAGGTTAAGTTCCTTTGAACAGATTTTTGAACCGGTTCGCTAGAAATACGATTTAAATATGACTTCAGGCAATGATCTCACGAACTTCAGCGCGGTTTTTAAGCGCCTATCACATCCGTACGCAGGTATGATAAATGTCGTCGTTTAAAAATCTTATAATTCGCATTAATAGCGTAAGAACATTGCTTTTTAGGAACCAAGCGAATTAACCGGTTTTTATTCCATCCGAATTTCACTCCGCATTTAGTTCCGATCCGGAACGGAGCATTACAAGAGAACAGGTTTTACCTAAATATAAACGGTTTATTCTGAACCGGTTTCAAGCCCTGCTAGCTGCGTCACATTTGTATAAAAAGTGTAGAGAACTATGAGGTCAAAAATAAACTTCTCCAAATATTTCTTTCGGCTGTTTGCGTGGATTGCCTGAACATTGATGAGAATACGCTCAGTAGTAGCGAAAAGTAACAAGCGCTTGAAAGATTCGGCAGTCCTGTTAGGTCCTGGGTAGCTCTCCCAACACGATGGGTCGCCGGAGATTGCACAGTTTCGTATCTCTGGTCTCTAGTCGGGGGCAGCTGGCCGGATTGCGCGCCGATCGGCATTGCAAGCTCCCGTCGTGGGGGTGCATCTTAAATATCTCTGACATGTACCCCCAACTCGCAGAGGAACCTGCCCTTCTCAGGGCGGGCCGAAATTTGGGCGAACCGCGCGCTGTGTGGCCTTCGGGCCGATCTTGTGCATCGCCTTCCATGCAAGGGACATCACTGAGTTTTAGTGGGTAAACTCCTGCTTCTTGTCTAGCCCCTTCGGGGGTGGGGCCGCAGGAGGAGTTCCACATAACCCGTGGAGCCCGCGCTGGGTGAAACGGGTATGCCTAACGCATTTCTCGGTCCAGGGTAGCTCAGTGGTTAAAGCAGTATTTTTCATTGATAATATTTTTCATTATAGCATTCTGAATGGAAAATTGATCAAATATTATAATTATATAAACTATTTCCAGACGCAACAGACGACCTGGAAGAGATCAGCGGCGTGGAAGACACAGATTTCGTTCTGTACGTTAGTGCGGTGGAGACGGAGAGATGTAAGAGAGGTCTGACTGTTGCATACGCGTCACATTGCCAACAGGAGTCAGCTTTAGACAGGTGATATATCTTCAATATTCATCATCATCATCATCATCATCATCATCACCATCATCATCATCATCATCATCATCATCATCATCATCATCATCAGCCCTATTACGTCCCCACTACAGGGGTTCAGGCCTTCCTTATGGATGATTAAGCAAGATGGACCATGACCCTCCACGCTGGCCCAATGCGGATTGGAGGGTATTAACGACTGTAAATGCAAGGAACAACGGCTTAACGTGCCTTCCAAAGCACGGAGTAGGTCGAGATAATAATTTTTTGGTCACCCATCCCGTGACCGACCCTTGCGAAAGTTCTCTACGCCACTGAGCTTCTTAAATATTAGATTCATTAATTAATAGCCTTCGCTTTGTTCTATAACGACTAATTATATGTATAACCTATGTCCTACAGACTTTGAAAGTTGTATTTATTATTGTGATAATACATATTATTTTGGTAATGACATGATTTATGTAAATGTCATTACTTATGATAAAGAGCTGGTAAGTTTCTTTCGCTTGTTCTTCTTGTCCTGAACAAGTGGTAGGGGAAAATTTTTTTTGGACGATTCAAAAGTGCTTGTAACAAGCTTACTTGAATAAAGATATTTTCATTTCACCATCAGCCCTTTTAAATCTCCACTGCAAGGGCTCTAGCCTTCTTCTTCTTCTTTTTTATCAATGGCTTATCTGTGCATTTCGCACAATTCTGCCAATTTCAAGTGAATAAACTAATTCTTACATGTAAAATGAAACGAATTAAAGATAGCAATGGTCTCTCCGGGCTTAGGAATCTAGCCTTATGAATGGTTAAGGACCTGACGGGTTCCGTGCACTGATGTATTAAAAAAAAAAGTTTAGATTGGTTATCTGCGCACAACATTGACAACAAGAAAGCGAGGCAATAGAATGCCTACGCTACTACGCTCTGCACAGCGCGATTCCCTAAAAATCCGAAACCTGATTCACGACATTTAGCGTATGAATTTTGTGGAATCCATTTATTGTGTATAAATACAAAAGAAGATCTCTTGATTTTATACGTGTTTCAGATACTCAATCTTTATGTCATTTTCTCACTTGAGAAAACTCACTCACTCACTGAAGTTAAAACTCACTTGAGTTATGTCAATACCAATTTCGGGTTGGGATTTTTACGGAATGGCAGATCTGAAAGCCAAATTCTACTAAATAAATTTTGTTTAAATCGAAACGAAAACGGTTCGAAACCGAACGAAACTACAGTTTTTAATGGTTTTTCTATTCCAATTCCAAATCTATGTTAGCTGGAATTGCATCATATGTCACTTTGTAGAATAGGGAAAACCATTAAAAACTGTAGTTTCGTTCGGTTACGATCCGTGTTCAATCTGTTTTCGATTCGATTTAAACAAAATTTATTTAGTAGAATTGACCCCCTGCTCTATGATATTGTTAAAGCGGGATAAGGTAAGTGGTGCACATTCAATCCCCCAAATTATTTTAAATTTTCCAATAAATATAATAGCTTACTTACAAGTTTTATTTATTCTACAGTCAAGAGATCGTATAAATTAAAAAATTGGCACTCTGCACTGCTGTTATTTACAATTTCTGTAGATGTAATGCTCGCACCACAAATAAAAAGCTTCATATGCTACCGACTTGAGCTACAATTCGTAATGAGCTCATACGCTTTAAATATTGACATCGATATATCCTATGGCTGTAATGAGCTCATTCGCCTTAACTACCCCCCCCCCCCAGTCATCGGCTGACGACATGTAAAAGTAGCAAAATAAAACAAAATACCAACAAGATATATCCTATGTCATGTATGGTGGTTATTGAATTACATTTAAAATTAACAGACCCGTAGCTGGCCACGCCAACTTCTGTCCTGGCGAACTGTCAACTAAGTACAGAGACCTGCCCTCCGTTATGTCGACTGTGAAACATGAAATGCTTCACGCTCTTGGGTTCAGTGTGTCGCTGTTCGCGTTCTATAGGTAAGTGAAAATATTAACCAGTGATATTTATAAGTAATTTTCATAATTGAAAAAAATTAAATAAAATAATATATTTTGAATTTTATTCACCACACTCATAAAAGGGCTGGCCTTTTACGTCCCCATTGCAGGGGCTCAGGCCTTCCTTATGGATTGTTAAGAAGGATGGGTCACGACCAGTGGTCGGAATTAGGTAGAGTTATTCATGTACTTACATTGATTTCATACACCGAAAGAATAAAGTGGATATGCCTCAAATCCCGAGATTAATTTTAAAGAGCAGAAAAAATCCGGTGATTTTTTAAATAAAAATTTATTTACTTTTACACAATTTAAAGGTAAGTTTGGCACGCACGACGTTGCCAAACTTACCTCAATGAAAGAAATAAAGAAAAAAGAAATAAAGAAATCCCGGGAAGGTCCACATTAATATCAACATTTCGATGCAAGTACATAAATAACTCTACCTAATTCCGACCTCTGGCCATGACCTTCCACGCTGGCCCAATGCGGATTGGAGGGTATTACCGACTGCAAATGCAGTCGGGACCAACGGCTTAACGTGCCTTCCGAAGCACGGAGTAGCTCGAGATAATAATTTTTCGGTCACCCATCCCGTGACCGACCCTTGCAAAAGTTGCTTAACGACAAAGGTCGCGGGCCGCGGCGCTTATCCACTACGCCAACGAGCTACTCGGATAGTACCGAGCTATTCGCCACACACACATGTAAAAAGTAATAAAAGATAAGCACAAAAGCACAAAAAATGCTGTAGAATACAGAAGGCGAACGTGAGCCAAAAGAAATATGAATCTACTTCAGGTTGACATCTTATAATATAAACAATAAATTTCAATTAAAACAACGCGTGCTACATGCATCTCAATAATAAGCGGTCTCACGCATGCGCAGTAAACGCGTCTCGAGCTAGTGCGAGTGCCAAAATTATATAATAAGAAACTAGATGTGTTTGTCCTTGTGTAACACAAATTCGAACAATTACATTAAATATTATTTCTTAAATTTAACATGTTAAACAATTTTATATATTGTGTTATTTGATATTTGTATATAGATTTTAATTAAATATATTAAATTTTTATAATGTTTACTTTAACAAATATTTTATTTATTTATATATACATATACATTAATTTATATGTAGGTACACTACAATGATATGGTCATTATTTTGTTGTTCGTGTACAAGTACCATGTAAGGGCATAGCAATGTTACAATACAATTTTGAAAGATTACAAAAATACAAACAAAATTACATTATAATAAAAAAAAAATACATGTCTAGAAACTTATAACGATACTAACTTTTGCCCGCGACTTCCGCGTGGTAAAGGTACTTCGAGCGGTATTACTAACGGATATTTATTAATTATCGTGTAAAATACCTGAAATAAAGTTTCATCCCTTTCTTAGGCGATGCCTACGTCATAGTAGCTTTATTCATGCAAAGTCTCAGCCCGGTTTAAAATTGACAAAGTTTCTTACAAATTTTCATCCCCTATTTTATGCCCTTGGGGTAGAATTGTTCAAAATCCTTTCTTAGCGGATGCCTACGTTATAACATCTACCTGCATGCCAAATTTCGGCCCGATCCGTCCAGTGGTTTGGGTTGTGCGTTGATAGATCACTATGTCAGTCAGTCACCTTTGAGTTATATATATTTAGAAATATGAACAATAATCAAAATAAAAATCAATTACTTATTTCAAATATTACAATGTCCATTTTTAATTTATTAATTAATAGTAATATAATATTTATGTCAGTTTTTCGTTTAAAAAATCATCTATGTTATAATATGCTTTATTTATTAGAAATAATTGTAATTGATTATCAAATAGCATTTTTGTATCCTGATTTTTAATATAGTTTGGTATATTATTATAAATTTTTATTGACAGCACGCAGGCCAGACGGATTTATTGCTAATTTAAAGAAGTGTATTTTTTAGTTTGTTTAAATATCTATTGATTCTCTTAATACTTGTTATAATAATATAAAATTCTGGGTGTTTCCTAACGAATTTGCACGTTTTTTTATAGTTTTTTTAACACAGACAATTTTAATATGAGAAACGAAGATAAACTTGTTTTGCCGTCATGCAGGCTAAAGAAGGTTCTATCGTCATTTATGGGTCAAGGTGTACACTACTATAACAAAATTCCTATGGAAATTTTAAATTTACCATTACCTAAGTTTAAAACACATATTAAGAATTGTCTACTCAGTAAAGTATATTATACTGTTAATGAATATTTAAACGACAAAACTGCTTGGAGTTAAATATGACTCATTTTTCATATATATTAAATTGTTAATCGGTGAGCTTCTTTGGCTACACATGTGATTGGATTGACGAAAATACTGTTTTACTCTTAATATTGTGTAATATTGTAATGGAAAGTGACTTCAAATTTTAATGAAGTCATTTTTCAATCTTGACGCTCTGTATGAAATAAAACAGGGAGAAAAAAGCAGCCCTTGCCGAGTTTCTTGCCGGTTCTTCTCGGTAGAAAGTCTCCCGCCGTAGATTTACGAACCGATGGCGTAGCTCTCGACTTTCACAAGTGCTTCTAACAGCCTAGACTGAATAAATGATTTTGATTTTTGATTTGACAGACACAGGACACGGTACATTTTGCTGAATTATAATATAACACCAGTGTTTCAAAATAATTATAACAAAAACATTGATATTTAAATAGTAGCATTTTTCACGCTTTCAACTAGACATTCTTGAATACAGAGTTAGAGACTCAACTAGAGTATGTCTCGATATCGATGATGCCCCAAAAATATGTATAAAGTCTGTCATACAGATAATAGAAATATAAGATACGTATTTTTTTTGTTTCAATTAAATAAGAATGACTTAGGGGCCGTCCATTAATCACGTGAGGGTCGAGGGGGGAGGGGGGGTTCGACAAAAATCACGAAATATCAAGTCGGGAGGGGGGGGGGGGTAGTAATTTTTCAAAAAACGCCTGATTACTAAACCGAAACGCGGCGACTAAAAAGATATTTTTTGTAGGTACTAAAAATACACGTGATTTGAGTAAGGTTAGTCTTAACCCTCACCATTTATCAACAAGGGGGAGGGGGATTGAAAATTTCTGAAAAAGCATCACGTGATTAATGGACGGTCTTTTATCTAAGCATTAGTTTCATTTGTATGGCCACGTGGCGAGTTTGTTTTGTTTTAATCAATTGCATTTAATTTTTATTATTTTATAAGATTTTAATTCCGCGTACCAACGAGAATACATTGGGCAAACGAATACATCTTATATTCAATAATAAACCTTATATTTGTAGTTATGTGACGGGTTCGGTGCTTGGGTCAATTAATAAGGCTGATTAGCTTGAGTATAGATTTATTGTAAAGGTAAATAAGAAACTGTAACAAACAAAATAAATTTTAAAAAACAGTTCGTAAGTTACTTAACTAATACATACTTATCAAATAAACGAATACATACCCCTTGTCGGGCTTCTAGTTAAACTCTTGGATCGTCCAAAATACAGATTACAATTTAGTACATATGTTATATAATTTGTATCACAATATCACATTCTTTATCACAATCAATAAATTATTTTAAAATTACATAATAAAATTTATACCATTAATATTGTATAATAATTTTCATGTTGTGCATAGAAGAATTTCTTACGAACTGACATCCATAAAGAGTATAATTGATTAGTCAAAATTTTAAATTACGAAAGACGAATAATAAAATGAAATGATGATGAATTTCAAAAACAAAAAGTTTGCATACTGAAACCTAGGAAAACAAACGGTGGCATGGCACACCGTTACAGTTATAAGGACCATAGGAAGTCCATCGTTATAGAATTTATAATAAACTTGCTTTCGCCAGCGGCTTCGCCCGCGTGGACCCTAGGGAAATGTTTAGTGGGATAAAAAGTATCCTATTATCTAAGTCAGCTAACACCCTGTATACCAAATTTCATCAAAATCCGTTCAGTAGTTTCGGCGTGATTGACGGACAAACATCCAAACAAAGAAACTTTCACATTTATAATATTAATAGGATTACTACCAGAAATAATTGTAACCTTAAAAGAAATGAAAACTGTAGCTGCACTTTTATGCTCTAGGGACGACAATGGTGACCCGCTCACTAAACGACGACCTGATACTGGAAATCCTCCATTGGATGAAGAGTGAGTTATATTTTATATACATAGACAAGTTTACAAATGAATGAAATGAACGAAATGAATGGAAGAGGGGAAATAAAGTAACTATATATTCTTGCTTTAAAAAGTCATTCTGTTTCTGGCACTCTGAGATGAGACACTAACCCGTGACATTTCGTAATCCGGGCGACTGCTCTAACCACTGAGCTAACCAGGACCTAACAGGACTGACGAATCAAAAACTTCTTACTTTTTCGCTAGCAGGACTGACGAATCTTTCAAAGACTTGTCGCTTTTTCTCATCAATGTTCAGGCATCCACCCAAACAGCCGAAAGAAATATTTTTTGAAATATTTAAACCTTAAAAAATATTCTTAATAAAAATGCATAAATATTGCATTTTTTCCCTGGCACTATGAGATAGTACAAAGTGGATTTTGTCAGCTTTACAAGCGTTGCATTGTGAATGCAAAAATTATCAAATATAATAAAGAAACGGTATAATAAAAGAATGAATGAAGCGATTTTTTTATATTATCAATGGTCTCGCTCTCGATCTCAATCCAGCGTGGGGCCATGAATAAGATCAACGGTAGAATTGCCCAGAAGGAGCCAACGTAGGATAAAAGCGTTTTGTGCGAATATTCACCAAATAGAAAAAAAAGAGAGGGGTATGAATGAATGAATGAATGAACACTTTATTGTACTTGAAAATAAAATCAACATAACAATAACCAGTACAATTGGCGGCCTTATCGCTAAAAAGCAATATCTAGGTATAAGCTCGTGTAACATTTGAGCGCTCTCTTATTTATACAGCCTATAAAAATGTGGCAGCCATTAAAATTATAGTTTTTACGGGATTGCCACCATGTGCATTGTTTTTGTTCTCGTAAAAAACTATCATTCCAATGTAGATAAGCGTGAAAGTTTAGAACAACAAATTTGACAGACAGACAACCCTCCGCTGATGGGTCAGGCTATAAAGCTTTGACTTTAGCTACATTTTTCCGCCAATGAGTCTCATGGCGAATTAATTAATTGAATCGAAGAGTGGAAATAAAGAAACGAATATAATGAATGAATGAAGTGAATGAATGAATTAAGCGAATGACTATTCAGCTTTGACTTCAGCAACGTTTTGTCGCCAATGAGTCATGGCGAATGAACGGAAGAGCGGAAATAAAGAAACTGATATAATGAATGAATGAAGTGAATGAATGAATTAAGCGACTGAAGGAAACGCATGTCGTGAACGAAATGAATGGATGGAAAGGATGGTATATTCAAACGAGTTGTATCAACGGAACTGCCAATTTGAAAATGGAAGGAATATTTATATTTTGTTTAGGCTGCAGATCCATAAATGGTCGGACCGCGTCGTCAGGAATGTCACCAGGAAGAACTGGATGATCAGAGGCGGGTACATGGAGAGGACTTTTCATATGATGGTCACACCACGTGTTGTCAAAGAGGTGAGTGTTTTGTAATAGGAATATGTATTGTTTGAAAGATATTTAATTAACAATATACATAATTTAACATTAATTAGAATTGTCTAATAACTTTCTGAATTGAGACAAGTGAAAAATCTCAACTCATTATTCTCAACTAGCTTTTGTCCGCTACTTCGCCTGCGTGCTATATTTTTAAGTCCAAAAATGAGAAGATTACATAAAAACTTTCATCCCCTACTTTAACCCGTTAGGGGTCGAATTTCGTAAAGTCCCGTCTTAGTGAGGGCCTACGTCAAAAAAGGAATTCGCATGCAAAATTTTAAACTCCTAGCACTCGCAGTAACGAAGTTTCATACAAACTTTCATCCCCTAATTTAGCACCTTCGAGACGGAATTTTCAAATATCCTCTCTTAGTGCTTCTCTACACTCCCTTAGGAATCTTCATTCCAAATTTCAACTTTCTACACCAAGTAATTTAGGCTGTACGTTATCTGTCAGTCATTTGGTCACTTGGTAATGCAAGAATCACTACACAGTATAAAACAAAGTCGCTTCCTCTGTCCCTAAAACCCTATGTATGCTTAAATCTTTAAAACTGCGCAACGGATTTTGATGCGGTTTTTTTTCATAGATAGGGTGATTAAAAAGGAAGGTTTTTATGTATAATACAAGACCACGCTGGCGAAGTCTAGATTTATATATATATGTAGATTATCAAAAGGGGGGAAAAGTAAAAAAAAACTTATATCAGAACTCGTTTAAGTGATTTCAAATACTCAATTGAGAAACTAGGTGAGAGGCAAGCGTTAAATGCAAATCATTAGAGCTTAAAGGCGTCATTAAACCTTAATGGGCGTTTGTGCAACTGACCGAAAGTCCCCTTTTCATGTACCTTCAGGTCAGAGAGCATTTCAACTGTTCAGAGCTGGAAGGGGCTGAACTCGAAGATCAGGGGGGAGACGGGACACATCTCACGCACTGGGAGAAGCGAGTGTTTGAGGTAAATATTATAGACTGAGAGCTAGTGCAAAAAAAACGCAAGAGTATTATTTGACCATTTATACATTCACAATTCTTATACTGATTTTTTGCATTTTTACTATTGATTGTATTTCGTTATGTTGTGTTACTGTTTGTGTCTTCACTGAATCGGTTTCAGCGGAAGATCACAAGACCAGCATATGCTGAGCTGGAACCGTTTTGGTACAGAGTTTTCGTTGTCCATGAGATTATATTTGCTTCTGTTTTTGTCTCAAATAAATTGATTTTATTTATTTATTTATAAATATCAACGACTGCAAAAGCACGGAGGAGCTGGATATATATTTTTTTCGGTCACCCATCCCGTGACCGACCACGCGAAAGTTGCTTAACAACAATGATCACGAGCCCGCAGCGTTTATCCACTCTGCCACCCAACCTTTACTAGGCACGCCTAATATAGTATGATGTAGACTACATTAATATATTGTATATTAAGTTTTGAGTAGCTCGGTGGCTTAGTGGAAAAGCGGCCCGCGATCGTAGTCGTTAAGCAACTTTCGCATGGGTCGGTCACGGGATGGGTGACCGAAAAATTATTATCTCGAGCTACTCCGTGCTTCGGAAGGCACGTTAAGCAGTTGGTCCCGGCTGCATTTGCAGTCGTTAATACCCTCCAATCCGCATTGGGCCAGCGTGGAGGGTCGTAGCCCATCCTCCTTAACCATCCATGAGGAAGGCCTGAGCCCCTGCAGTGGGGACGTAAAAGGGCTGGTGATGTGATGATATTAAGTTTAAAGTCAGCAAGAAGCCGACAAGGACCTGGCATATTACTGAACCGGCTACCTGTTTTGCTGCGGCCGTGAGACATAAATAAATCAGTCTTATTTACCTAAGTATAGTTTTTTGTAACCTTGTAGTGTGTCTTATGTGTGTAAGGTAATAAAACTATCTCTCTCTCTCTATTATAGAACGAGGCGATGACCGGTACCCACACTCAGAACTCCGTATTCAGTCGCGTAACGTTCGCCCTCTTAGAGGATACTGGCTGGTACCGCGCCGAGTACTCACGGGCCGATCCCCTCCACTGGGGGCGGGGGAGGGGATGCTCCTTCGCCATGCAATCCTGTAAACACTGGATGCACGACCATACCTACAGGTAATATAACGATAACACAACAAACATACTAAATATAATTTTATTTCAATTCTACCCTATTCTACTCTGCGTCTACTAAAGCTTTTTTTTTAAATAATAAAATCGAAGCAGTCACTCAAATATGAATCTATTTTATTCCTACCCTATTCTACCCTGATTTACCCTAGTCTACCCTGGTCTAACTTGCACCTCCCTACAATAGGGAGGTCTTACTTGCACCTCCCTACAATAGGGAGGTCTTACTTGCACCTCCCTACAATAGGGAAGTTTTACTTGCACCTCTCTACAATAGGGAGGTCTTACTTGCACCTCCTTACAATAGTTTATTTTGATTCTCGGACGGATTAAAATTTATTCCCCATACTCTGGTGAAGCTAGTATCACTGACGTTATTATTTGGGATTTCTCCCCTACTGATATACTTTGTAAAGTAAATCGGATAGCAAGAGTTCACCTACTGAAAATTTCCGATGTATCTCTGAGAAAACGGTGCATGAAATTAGCCAGTCTTTTCCCTTTTCAGAACCTTTTTATGGTTCCCTTACAGGAAAAAATTACAGGTTAAAACAGGGAATTTTGCACACCCTTTTCTACCCCAACCCAACTCTATTCACCTTCACCCTATCCTAAGAACTCTTCATCTTTGTGATTATTTAGATTACCCTTTTACAATTGCTCCATATTAAAACCATAGATATTAAAAAAAAAACACCTTGAACATGTAATATACTTAAGCTTTCCAATAGAGTTTACAATAAAAATAGTATTCTGTGGGCTTATTTTCAAATCTATAACAATCCCAATTAAAATAGCGATTTGTGAAATTATGTAATTTTTAAAGTCGTAATCGGTTTTGGAACGAATGATGATTTGAATGATCATTCGAATTAACGATATCGTTCATTTAATATCATTCAAAAACGTCACGGTCGCAATCGCTAACACAAGCAGTTGTAGCGTGAATTTCGTCAACACCTTTCAAATCTCAAATTGAAAGTGATTGCAAAGTTAATTATAACTTTGACAATAAAACTTCTGCTCAAATAAAATGTCGACATTTAAATATATTCTTATTAAAACTAAATATAATACTTTCCATTTTAAGCAATCATACGGAAAATTCAAAGTAAGTACCTATATGAGTACATTGTAATTATATGTGTCGTCTTCTGATTTAAGTTGAGGGTAATCCGGTAATGTTTCCAGTAGTGATGTGCCGGTTCGATGATAATACACATCGATTATAGTAATACTCGTAATCGATTAACAATCGATAATAATCGATTCGTGTCAAGATTATTAAATATTTTCACCGAAAAAGTTTATTAATGATTTCAGATTAATAACATCGTATTTTAAAGGCATCCAAGTTAATAAACAATACCTTAAAATCCATTTTAAGACAATGTTTACCATACCAGCATTATGAATGCAAAATTTATAGGATTGAACTAGCTGTACCCGCGATTTCGTCCGCGTGGAAAAGTAATACCTAATCACATAAGCTATCTGCCAGTGAAAATCTTGTTATTTGTAATATGTTTTTATTTTCGTCTACACTCGTATTTTCCTAAAAAAATGCTTCAAAGATTTTGCTTCATTTATTAAAATGCCAATTTTTCATTTACAAGCGACACTGACGCATTGGAAATAGAAGAGTAAGTATATATATAAATTAAGACGTATGTTTTTATTAAACTTAAAAATAAAAATGCCAGAAAGGAATCTTTAAATTCACATTATCTATAAGTTTGTTGTTTTCCCGCGACTTTACCCTCTTAAATTATATACTACTAGCTGTGCCGTCGACTCCTTTATTAGATAAGCTATCCGCCAGTGAAAGTTCCGTCAGGGATTAGCAAAATAAACAGACAGGCAAGAAAAATATAAATAATGTTACTTTTGTATATTTACCGTGTTTAGAGAAAATGTTGGACGATTTAAAAGTGCTTGTAATATTCTACCTTTCATTTTTTCATTCACTCACTCATTCATTCATTTACTCACTCATTCGTTTGAATAGAATAGAAAATTCTTTATTGTTAACATTACACAAAGTTACATTTACAAATATAAAACATTTTACAATATAATTTAATAATTGGCGGCCTTATCGCTTAAAGCGATTTCTTCCAGGCAACCATGGGATGGAAAGAGAGATAACAATTAATGAAGACGGGGGTGTAAATGTTATCAATTACATTAAAAAGAAAAAATATGTAGTGAATACATTCATAATACAAATATATCCGATAAATACGTGATATACATACACACATACATACAACTACATAGATAAACTTACACACACATATATATTATCAATACCAGGAATAGTTATACTCGGCAGTAGCAGGATATTTCATTGTGAAAGGTAGAATTCCTTTACGCTATTTTTAAAAATTTGCAAAGATTTCGCTCGCCTTATCGAAACTGGACGGGAATTGCCTTATCGAAATCGTTTGGTTGTTTCAACTAATCATTCATTCGTTCACTCATTTGTTTCGTTGTTTCAACTATTCATTCATTCATTCACTCATTCGTTTGGTTGTTTAGACGCAAGAATCCCGCGCCGTTCTGCCAGAGGATCAAGGGTAGTCCACTCCGCACAGAGTGTTCCCCTCACCGGTCCGCTGTGGTACTGTGCAACCTCGTCAGGCATGACACCATACTGCCCAGACAATACCAGGTAACTTGTTTTTAGTGAAGAACGCTTAAGAAATTCCACCAGCCTCAAGTGCTCTGATATTTTGAAGCATTTTTAATTAAGAATATTTTTCATTAGTGCATTGTGATTGGTGTATTGTTTAAATTATAATGGTCATTTACATTCCCCACTGCAGGGCCTCAGGGCTTCCTTGTGAATGGTTAAGGAGGATGGGCCATGACCCTCCACGTTGGCACAATTGAGGCTATTAACGACTGCAAATACAGCCGGGTTCAACGGCTTAACGTGCCTTTATAAGCACGAAGTTTTCGGTCACCCATCCCGTGACCGACCATTGTGAAAGTTGCTTAACAACTATGATCGCCGCGGCGTTTATCTACTACGCCACCGAGCTATTCGTTTATTTTTCATATACATTAGAATTATAGTTTTGTCATTCTATGGAGCGATTAGCGGGCTGCTCTCTCAACGGCCGGCCATAGGATGGGTGACCGAACATTTATTATGCATCGGACTGCATTTTAAGTTGGTCCTTGCTGCATCATCAATAGTTTATACCTACTAATATGCTCTGGATACATGTGGTGGGTGGCCCATTCTCCTCATAAATTTTTTTATCTATCAGCATTTCGACCTTCTACCAAACGTCCCTCCTGGTGACGAGGCATTCTACGGCGGATCAGTATCTTTGGCGGACTACTGTCCGTATCTGCAAGAGTTCACGTGGAAGCACAAGAGTGTGCTGGTGAGAGGAAGCAGGTGTTCCTACGAGGAGAACACGCCGAGTGAGTCGCGCTAGTTTGATACGTGATGCGATTGTTTGTTAATAGATGGCGCTGTTTTTAAATACGTAATGCCATGGTATATCAATAGATGGCGCTGTTGTGTAATACGTAACGTCATGCTCTTTTTATTTATTTAAGAAAACCAACAGCTAAAGCATGGTTAAGATAATTAGACGGATGTAACTTAAATTAAGCCCATAACAGGTTTTCATAAATACATTATCATAAAAAAGTTTTTTATTTGACTAAATATATTAAAAAATTGTCATATTTCTTGAACTTTATATAAATATCAAGTATTTGAGATTAAGCAATTAACATTTATCAGAAAACGAACACCTCAATATGCAATTGCAAGCAAATATGTATGTAAAAGTAAGATAAAATGCGGTTACATAATGTTGTGTGAACAGATGGCGCTGTTGTTAGTTAGAATTATACTTATAATTGGTTTTGGTAGAAAAATTGCTAAGAACCTAATATTAACTGAAATCGAGCTTCATTGAGAAGCTTATTTTTGAACTTATTAATATTAACTACCCGACTTGGATAGAACTTTCCTGGGCTGAACGACGACGAAGAAATACGTGGACAAACTAACATACATGTATACTTACAAAATTTAACGCACGCGTTTTAAGTCTATATAGATAAATAAATATGAATGTCAAGTTATTCCAACGAATTTAAACACATACAGATTAAATTGATAACACTCCTTTATTGAAAAAATAGTCTGGTAAAAAGAAATAGTAACAATTGTGATTCAAAAGCGTTCTATCTAAAGCTTAGTACACACTGTGGTTATTCATATTAAGTCTCTACTTCTATACAGGGTTCGCAAAATACCGATATTTATAATAAATATATCATGCATATGAAAAGCTGCGATTTTTGAGCTGCCAGTGACTTTATTTAATATTTTAAATAAAAAGTGTAAAATAAAAATTAAGTTGGAGTTATTTAATATTTGTTTATTTATTATTAAATAATTAAAAAGTAGTATCCGAGCGAGGATTTCAAGTAATGTACAGGGGAAAACCCGATATCTCTAGTAAGTAAGATTGCTACTTTGGGCCAATGTTGCCAGCGTCACATCGGGTTCGTTAATTTTCTAGATGAGACTGAATACTCAATACTGAAACTAACAATAAATAATATAAATATCAGTTGATATATATCAAGATATCATATTAGCCGTTGATATTTATCAGCGAACCCTGCTTCTGTACTAAGGGGCCATCCATAAATTACGTCACACGGAAGGCGGGGGGGGGGGGGGTGTCGACGAATTGTGGCATTAGAACCATATTTAGTAGAATTTGTATAGACAAACAGGTGACTGAAGGGGGGGGGGGGTGTTAAAAATCGTGAATTTTGTGCGACGTTATTTATGGACGACCCCTAATCTTGTTAAGAGGAATGATTTGTTTGTTTTGAATAAGCTCAGAAACTACTGAATCGATTTTGATAATTCTTTCACCTACGCGAAGCTTCAACATACGCGGTTGACATAGGCTATAATATACGCAGGCGAAGTTACAAATAAAACAGTAGTAATTATACATTCATTCCGGATTATTTTCTTAGAGGCTGATGTCAATTTCGCCTTGGAGAACTACGGACAGCACTCGAAATGCTTCGACCATAGTGACCGAGTGTGGGAGCAGAAATCATGTAGACAGGTAAGAGATTCATAACATTCCAGACTGTATAAAAGGTAACTGAAAAATTAGCAAAATCATATATTCTGTTTATTTGAGAATGCTTACTCAATCTCTCTCTCTCTCATCTGAAGGTGCTCACTCTCTCTCTCATCCGAGGGTGCTCACTCTCTCTCTCATCTGAGGATGCTCACTCTCTCATCTGAGGGTGCTCACTCTCTCTCTCATCTGGGGGTGCTCGCTCTCTCTCTCTCATCTGAGGGTGCTCGCTCTCTTTCTCATCTGAGGGTGCTCACTCTCTCAATCTCTTCTGCAGACACAAAAACACAACAAATACACAGAGAAAGAGCTTTGAGTGTGCTCTCTTTCCAAGATGCTTTATATCTCCCCTCTCTCTCTCTCCATCACACACAAGCACACCCCTGAGAATGGTCTCTCTCTCTTTCCTCCCCGAGATGCTTTACACCCTTTTCTCTTTCGTCTATTATATAAAATAGGTTATTTGGCTCTATATTTTTAAATCTTGTTACATTATATCTTTTTTCCATTTTATATAGATAAGAGAATGGCAACACTGGGGCTCCGGTTGCTACAAATATAAATGTGAGAACGGAAGACTGCATATAATGGTGAGTGTTAACAATAAGCCATTATTACCCGACTGCGCAACGAAAAGGAGGGTAATGTGTTTATGCTCTGTTTGAAACAGTATGATGATATCAGGGATGGAATAAGATATATACCTGCGTGTATCGAACAGTTTTAAAGTTTTAAAATGTCTCACCTTCGTCGCCTGTTGTATAGATTTTTAGAGTAGATTTGATATCGATAGTCAACAGCAAAATACTGTTTACGGAAGTGACATCACCAGCCCTTTTACGTCCCCACTGCAGGGGCTCAGGCCTTCCATATGGATGGTTAAGGAGGATGGGCTGTGACCCTCCACGCTGGCCCAATGCGGATTGGAGGGTATTAACGACTGCAAATGCAGCCGGGACCAACGACTTAACGTGCCTCCCGGAGCATGGAGTAGCTCGAGATAATAATTTTTCGGTCACCCATACCTTGACCGACCCTAGCGAAAGTTGCTTAACGACTACGATCGCGGGCCGCGCTAGCTAGTGGTTAGAGCGGTCCCGGATTGCGAAAGGTCATGGGTTCGAGTCCCATCTCAGTAACGGTGCCAGAGTGGATTTTTGAGCATTTGACATTAAGAATATTTTTCTGTATAGCATTGTGAATGAAAAATTTATCAAATATAATAAATCTTTAGATTTTTTTTTGTTTTTTAATGTAATAAATACATTCGTAATTCTAATTTCATTTAATATCCATTTTATATATATTTTAGGAAAGAAATGCAACTATACACAACGTAATTTTGTAAACATTACAATTATTAATTAATATCTAGTAGAGCATATTCTTAATGCTCAAAAAAATCTCCTTGTCTCTGGCACTCTGAAATGGGATTTTTTTTAAACATTTTTCACTAAGAATATTTTTCAGTATGGCATTGTGCAATGCAAAATTGACTAAATGAACAAAAATTTGTCTCGTTATCTATTGGCCCGTGGATGGGCGTAGTATGTGGATGAGCTTTGTAATATTAGTCTGTGATTGTTATATTGGTCCGTGGATGGGCGTGGTTATATCGGTCTGTGGACGGGTGTACTTATATTGGTCCGTGAATGGGCGTTGTTATGTTGGTCTGTGGATGGGTGTTGTTTATATTGGTCTGTGGTCGGGCGTGGTTACATTGTTCTGTAACGGGCGCGTGCGTGGCCAGGTGGGCGGGTACACGTACACGTGCTACCACGCGGGGCAGGTGCTGCAGGTGCGCGCCGTGCGCGGGGGCTGGCTGCACCGCGGGGGGGTGCTGTGCCCGCCCTGCAACGACCTCTGCAGGGAACACTTCCAGGTCAGATATGCAAACACGTTATAACCTGCAAAACCAACATGGATATATCTTATTTCTGTAACAATAGGGATGATGATAAAAAAAAATGCAATTCTGTTTAGTCCGTCAGTCAGATAATAGAAAAATATTAGATACGTATTTTTTTTTACTTCAATTTAACAAGAAATAGCTTAGATAACAGGCATTAAAGTTGAGGAGTGGGGGCTCGCTACGTCACAGTTGAGTAGAAAACGTACCCTAACGTGACGTCATGCGAAATTTCAACCCAATGTAACGCCGTAATTTTATGATTACGAAAAAAATTAAAAAATATGTGTTTAATATTTTTAACACTCTACCTGACGGACAAACAAACAAAAATTAGTCATCATCCCTATTGACTGAGGAAAACCTTATTTCTCACCATGGTATTTATAGGAATTGTTTATCGAAAAAAATAAAAGTTTTTCTGCTCTGCAGAATTATTTTGGTTTTGCGGTTGCTTTCCAACGTTGATATCGTACCGCTTATTATGACATTAAAGCGTTACTCTGTATTCTAAGCATGACTTAAAATTACCCGCGTACAGTACGTTATAACGTAGCGGGTAGCCGGACCGATGAACGTTCAGTACAATCATATACTCGTAATGAGAAAGTATTAAAAATAAAACATCAGTTCCCGAAATCAAACTAGATGTCGCTACGGTACTTTCTTGATTTCTTCATGACAACCGGAAAAGAAAATCGGAAGATTTTCTTTAAAATCAGTTTTCAATAAATTAATATTAAAAGCTCAATAAACAACTCATATTCTATTTATAACTCATACTATATTTGCGCCTGGTAACAGGTGCTATGAGAAAGTATTTAAAAAAACATTAGTTTTCGAAAACAAACTAGATGTCGCTACAATACTTTCTTGATTTCTCCATGCCAATCCTTCCATAAAAATAAATTAGTTTTCAAAACTCAATAAACAACTCATATTCTATTTGTACTTTTTCGTATTTGTATTGATATCTAAGTTTCGAACTTTGCAAAATTCAGTTTTTTGATATGTCAGTTCAGATAAAATGAACAGAAATTACTATCTGTGGTCCATTCGTTCCCTACGAAAATCAACTTTTGCTAGAGTCGCCATCTAGTGAGATGCTTTAGTGCTTTTTTTTTTTCTTAAAATACTTTCTCATTATACTATTATCATTTCATAGCCAATCAATTAATAATAATAATTATTTTTAATATATAACGAGTTGTTTTTTTATATTCAATTATCAATTTTCATTGTTTTTATATATAAATACTAATTGTTTGTTTTAATTAAGGCGAAAATGACAGATAGTATTATCTGTGGTATTACACAACAATACATCGATGCCATGTTTAGAGTCATGTGCCATGCTCAATTTTACCGGGTAATACGTACTGTTACAGTACGCGGTCGTGTCATAATACGCGTTATGCATTACTCACAGTACTTAAACACCTCTACTTCCAGGCCATACGACGTTTACTGAAGTGTATATTAAAAAACTGTTACCTTTTCTGTCTCTTAAGGCTCTTTTGTACCTCCTCTCACGTTTCTATACAAACACGCGTAGAATAATAATGCGCTCACTTGATTTCACTCATTTTTTATAAAAAAAAAACAAAAAAAAAGAACAGCTATAAAACAATTGTTTGCTTATTTTAGTATATCAAAACTGTTTTTTTTTTCTATCGAGTCAGTTATTAAAATTTATGTTTTTAGAAAACCATCGATCATATATTTAATTTTCCTAAAATTATTTTAATTTGGCAAATATTGACAAAGCCTCGGAAAAAATCGGTTTTAAAAGTATTAATTTGGTTCAACCGCGCCTTAACACACACCGGTCAGTTGCACGAACATCCGATAAGATTTAGACGACTTTAAGCTCTAATTAATGTTCTAATTTTGCAAAATTTTTACCGAACGTTTGCGCTACTGGTTAATATGTAAAGAAAACGGTTTTATCAAATAACTGATGATTGTTTGTGTCCCGAATTATGATTGAAAACGTTTCATAAATTTTACCAGTACGGAATAATGTACATTAATATATTTAATTGAGATAATATTAGTATAGAATGTTCTTTTGATTTGTAATTTTTTTTTGTATAAAAACACTAAACAACATTAATCGATACAAACTGAAAGACACATTTTACTATATATTTACAACCACCATGTCGATTCCAATAGTTTTACAAGAATGACAATCTTGGAGTAAATCGGCGCGAAAACTGATCTAACGTCAAATAAAAATGACAGTGACAGCTAACTGACAGAGAGGGCTGCCCGTAGTGAAATCAATAATTAGTGCTGCCAGTAGTAATTGTCGATTTCATTACGGATAACCTAGGGGCCTTCCGAAAACACGTAAGCTTTGAAAGGGGGGGAGAGTTGGGTTCGTAAAAATCACGTTATAATATAAGGAGGTGAGGGGGGGGGGGGCGTGTAGCAATATATCACGTATATTTAATTTTTTCAAACCGAAATTGTGCCGTCGAAAAATTAAGATATTTTTGTAGGTACTAAAATGTATGTGATTTGATTTGATTTGACCCTTCACCTTAATCTTAAACTTCACAATGTATTACCAGACCAAGATTGTTAAAATAATGCTGAAAAAACATCACGTATTTAATAAACGGCCCCTCGGGAATCGCTCAGCTGTTGACGGCAATAACTTTTTTATGTAAGCAATAGCTATATGGTTTTTATAATTGATATTATTTGAATTACAGATTCGTAATGAATTTTGTAAAAGAGGAGAAGAAGCACCCCCACCTAATTTATATCCCAACGATGTCCTAAAGTGTTCCGCTGTGACAATTACACCGACCGCCATTTTGTCGACGGCAGCCATCTTGTGGAGTATAACGTCATAATAACTTTAGCGCCGAATTATTTGAATTAAACCAACGAAGACTTAAAATATCAAATTTGATAGGTTGTTTTTTAATGTTTACTAGCAGTTTTTTTAAAGAATATTTATTGCCCTGAATTTATTATGTTCGCTTAATTTAGGAGTGTAAAGAATATGTCTTATCAACGAAGGAATAAAGTTGAATTTTGCGTAATTTCGCTACAAATTGGTGTAGCTAAGATTTTTTTATAGATGACGCGGTAATGAAATACATTCCTTGAAAACTACACAGAAAAATGGACTTATGAATTGTGGGTGGGACTTATGAGTTGAGGACAGTTTGAAATGTGTTTTGAAATCAAGTTTTTTTCTGTATGAATTGTGGAATAATCAATAAGTTTAAAAGGAATGTCCATATTATGTAGACATACCTACTATACTATTAATAGGGGCTCGGATAACATAAAGAAGCTGATTTAAATTAATCAGGATGCTTATTACTACAAAAAAGAAATGAGACTGTTTTAATAGAAATCATTTTTCTTTTCTGATTGCTATCCAATTCCCTATTATACATAATAATTTACTAACAGTGTATAGCTGTATGCTATTACGACTAACTTTTATAGTCTGTTGAACTATTAAGATTCTCTAATTAATTTAATATTATTAATTAGCTTACCAAATTAGTTATTTTATTTTAAATATCCCTGACTTGTATAATTTTCATACTAAATGGCCATAACTTAATTTATTTGTCTAATTTTAATACTTAAACGTAATTATTGTAAAAAGTAATTGTATATTAATTAATCCTATTTTTTGTACTTGAAATACTGTAAATTTGTATTTATCTAGATTATATTTTAGATTTATTTTCAAAGGTAATCAAATTATTTTTTTTAACTTACAATTCCTATTAGGTTACATGCGGCGTCAAAATAATAAAAAAAAAGTTTCGGCACTCTAAATCATATAAGGAATATTTTGATTCGGAATAAGGAATATAATTTGTGTTGTATTGAAAGAATGAGTAAGATTAGTGCAGGCATGGCTGTATGACGTAGATTCCTTAGTCTTCCGAATAACAGGGAAGTTTAAAAACAAATTTCTGCATGGAGAAGGTCTTTTTACTGAATTGGTTTTAAGTTATGTGTCGTCTTGTTATTATGGGTCTTGTTATTATGTGAGACAATATATAATATGTGTGAACGATATGTAATAAAGCTTAGATATATAATATTGAACCAGGAAAATGTTCCTGAATTCACCGCGGGGAGAGAAACGGGTCACTTTTTTTCCTGTCGACTTCTGTGCGTTCCTGCACTTTTCGATTGGCTCCAAACACTTCTATGATATTTAACACCAATGTCGAAGTTAATACGGAATACATTACCTAAGACAAGGCTGTATGGGGTAGATGCGTTTGCCTTTAAAAATAATGTGTAGAAGTAAATTAGTAAAAGTATTTACAAACAAGCAAATATTAAATAAAGTTAAAGTTTATTTATTAAAAAAAGTTGTTCACGTTATTATTACCCGACTACGGCGAATCGAAAACGAGAGTTATAATTTTGGCCGGTATGTATGTAAGAATGTTTTTTTTTTTTTTTTTTTTTTTTCCTTTTGGCGTCACACGGTTTGTGTATTTGCCAGTGTCAAAGGTAGGGAAACGATGGTAGGAAAAAGGATAGGATTTGCGACAGGTTTTTAGCAATAGGATCAGGAAACGAAAATATTAATATATATAGAATATATACGTTATATAACATACATAAAAAGTAATAACGATATTTAGACTTTAATATTATTTGACATTATAAAAGACGCTATGCATTGATATACTGATATGTTATTAGACGAGAGCAAAGAAACTATGGATGTGGGAAAGGAAACACGTAAGGAAATGAGATCTTTAAGGAATTCGGATCGATCGTACAGTGTACAAGAAAACAATATGTGGTTAAGATCACAGTAGTCTGACCCACACCTACAGGAAGCATCACTAACAATTCCCAGCTTGGTAAGATGTGCTGGTGTACTAACATGACCAATTCTCGAGCGTATTAAAATACTAGTAGCAGTCTTACTGATCTTAATTTTACGGAACCACGGTTTCATCATAATTTTAGGTTGTATTTGATAATAATGTTTTCCCTTTACTTGTCCACTATTTGTCCAGTAAGTTTGCCACTCCTTATGCAAATGACACAACGGCAGCAACAACAAGTCATGGGTATAATTTTTAAAAGGAAACATGTCTCCACAATGTACTGCCTCTTTTGCTAATTGATCAGACTTCTCATTACCTTGAATTCCCACGTGACTTGGAAGCCACACAAATTCTACCAGATACCCTTTTTTAACACATTTATAAAGATTATTTCTTATATCAAACACAAGTGGGTTATATAATCTTGTACGGAATGGAAAATTATCAATAGCTTGTAAAGCACTCCTTGAATCAGAAAATATTATTGATTTATTTAGTTTCATGAGAACGACATACTCGACAGCTTTTAGTAAGCCAAGGCATTCCCCCGTAAATACAGATGTCTCCGGAGGAAGTTTACTTTTCTGCACAATGGAAAACTGAGAGTGGTAGACTCCTATGCCCGTACATTCAGAAGAGGAAGACTTAGAAGCATCACTGTATATATGATGGTAATTTTCGTATTCGGAATCTATAATTGATTTAAAGGTTTTAGCGTTATGTTTATCTATCAGATCGTACCTTACAGATGGTGAAATTAGCAAGGCGTCATAATCTATATTAAACACTGGAAGACGATTTGACCGATGTATAGGTGAATGGAGGCTCAAGTATTTTTGATAGCTTACTATTAAACAGGGCAGTTGTTTATGAGACCAATAGCTAGCTGTAGTTATTTCATTGTTCAGAGAGTTAAGTAGGTGGAAAAGAGGATGGTCGGAGAATTGAAGAGATCGGAACAAAAATCGATCTGAAAGAAATTGTCGTCTAATACTGAGTGGGGGTTCACAAGTTTCGATTTGTAAAGCATTGATTGGGCTTGAGCTCATAGCACCAGTTATAATTCTAAGTGCTTTTGATTGAATACCGTCTAATTTTTTTAACGAAATTAAGCTGGCAGGTTCTAAAAGGAAAGTACCATAATCCAATACACTACGAATTAGCGCGTTATAAACCAATTTGAGCGATTGAGGGTGAGCCCCCCACCAGACACCGGAGAGACATCGAAGAAGATTCAATATTCGTTCAGTTTTCTTGATAATGTAATCTATATGGGAGCGACCGGAGAGCTTGGAATCTAATATCACACCTAAAAACTTAGCTTGTGATTCAACTGGTATAGGCAAGTTATTATAATGAACTCTAATTAAAGGGGGATTCCTCATTCTTGAAAAAACTACGATTGTACTTTTGGATGCAGATAAATCTAAGCCATTGGTAAGCATCCAGGAGTGTAATGAAATCAAGGCCAACTCAATATGTGACGCAGCTATCTCAACTGATCGGTTTGTTGAATATAATAACAAATCATCCGCATATTGTAAAAGCTTTATATGATTATCGAAGCAAGAATCCAAATCATGTGTATAGATATTGTATAGCAAAGGGCTAAGGACTGACCCTTGGGGTAACCCTTTCCATACAGTCCTTTTTATTTCTGAATAACAAGATAAACTAACAATCAAGTTACGTTCTTCTAATATGTTCATAATAAAATTGGTTAACATTGACGGGATGTTTAGCGATTCTAATTTATTTTTTAATACTGACACTAACACATTATCATAAGCAGAATTGATGTCCAAAAAAGCAGCCACTATAGATTCGTTGTTTGTAAAACCTATACGTATGTCAGTTGTGAAAATACTTATATTATCCATTGTACTTTTCCCTTTTCTAAATCCATATTGCGTTCTCGATAGTATACCTTGACTTTCTACAAACCATTCCAAACGGTTTTTAATTAAAATTTCAGCTAATTTTAACAGCACAGAAGATAAAACTATCGGTCGATATGAGCTGGCCTCAGATGGTGGTTTATTTGGTTTGAGGATGGGCAACACTACTTGTGACTTCCATGACAGAGGTATGTTTCCTGTCAACATGATAGTGTTGATAAGTTGTAGATAATAAAAAAGGATATTGTCACTTACATTAGCAAAGAATGAATATGGGATTCCATCTTCCCCCGGAGCAGAATCTTTAACATGATATATTGCACTTTTCAGTTCACGAAGAGAAAAGAGGCTATTTAAACCAGATTGATTATAAGACGACTGCGAAGGTTGTGTGGTGTTGAGCATGGGAACCCATGAAGGGGCCAATTTGTCCATGAAATCAATAGTTATTTCGGTGGGAATAGTAATTCCAGAAGATATATTATATGAAGATTTAAATCTTTTTATGTTTTGCCAAACAAGAGTAGGATGTGTGTTAGGAGAAATAGAACTACAGAAACTTTTCCAACTGTCAAATTTTTTCTTTTTAAATAATCTTTTTGTTTCAGCAATCGTTTTAGACAAGTATTCATAGTTAGCTTCAGACATATTATTATTGTAAATTCTTTCAGCCTCTTTTCTCTTCTTAACCGCTTCAGTGCAATCTTTATCCCACCAAGGAGGGGATGGTATTTTTGTGCAATTATTTTCTTTGACAGGAAACACCTCTCTGGCAGCTTCATTTAAAATATTTGATAATGCTTCAGCACAAATGTTTTCATTTCCATGAGTTATAACAGGGAGGTGCTTAAGCTTGCATTCTACATTAGATTTATAAGTAATCCAATCTTTAGAACTTTTATCAGGTAATTTATATCTTCTAGTAGACTTTTTCTGGGAAATACTAGGTTTATTAAACGGAAATGTAATAATAATAGGGAAATGATCACTTCCTAATGTAGAAGATAAAGTATGCCAGGATAAAGAAGAAGCCAAATTTGGTGTGCATATTGATAAATCTACTGCACTCTTATTAAGTTTAGGATCAGTGAGTCTTGTAGGTGATCCTGTGTTCAAGTAACATAAATTATGTGACTCAATAATATCTAATAAATTTACTCCATAACTATTAATAATAGAACTTCCCCATGCTCTATGGTGACAATTAAAATCTCCTAAAACTAAGAAGGGTCTAGGAAGGGTAGAGAATAAATTATTTATTTCACCAAAAATTGGTGCAGATGGATGGCTGATATAAATTGATACTATGTTAATATTATATACTTTCACTGCTACAATTGAAATATCTTTATGATTTATAGATATGCTAATGGGATCATAACTAACACCATTTTTTATGAGAATGGCTACACCACCAAACCCATCACTTCTATCGTCTCTTAAAGAAGTATAACCCTTAATTTGAAAGTGTTTTTGTGATGTTAACCATGTTTCTGATAAAACTAAAATAGATGGTTCATATTTATTTAGTAAATAAATTATTTCACTTTTTTTACTAATAGCACTACAGCAATTCCACTGAATTATTTTGTCTGTCTGTCTGTC